AGTCACAGCAGTGACAGCAGAGACAGCAACGTTGGGAGTGTCACCGGCGGCATCAGCAGCAAATAGCTGTGATAGTGGCACCAGCACGTGAGCAGCATTGTAGCACGAGTTGCTCAAGCCGTGGCGTGCAACGTTGGCGGCAGTAGATGCAGCAACAGCAGCGGTGTCACCAGTATCAGTAGCAACAGTAGTGGCATTAGTGGAAGCAATCGCAACGTAGGGCACAAGCAGTGGCAGCAGTGCCTGTAGCCATGTTCTCGCAGCATTGGCATGCTTGGACAATTCCTCAGCCTCTCGTACGTTTGCCATGCTCCAGCTGCGTTTCAACTCCTGCTGTCCCCAGCGCCAGCGCGGGAGGTGGCCGCGGCGACTGCCGCCAGGAGGGCAGCGCAGGCGGAGGCAGACACGGCCGCTGCCGAGGCCGCCCAGGCTGAGGAGGGCAGGGAGTGGCAGGGGCTGGCTCGCCCTCTCTGGTCTCCTTGCGCTGCAAGTGCTGTTCAATCATCGAGGTGTGATTTTACACCTGGATCTGGCGAGTAGGAGGGAGCTGGGCACGATGAAACGGATGGGAGAGAGGGGTGGCATACCGTAGCACGCCGCAAGAGGGCGTTTCTTTAATTCTCAGGGCAGGGATCGCGGTGTACGCAGGCGCTCTGGTGAACGCGGCTGCTGTGGTTCACGCGGGCACTGGAGTGCACGCAAGCATTGTGGTGCATGCAGGTACTGCGGTGTACATAGGCGCTGTGGTTCATTCTGCGGGTTGCGCGCGCAGGCGCTGTGATGGCGGAACCACACTGCGTGGGGTGGGGGTGGGGGCGTTACGTTATGCCCCCTACGCTCCCCCATAATGCCAGTTATCGCCGCGAGTAGACAGATGTTCTGCGATTGCGGATCAGAGTGAGGGGGCGGGTGGGTGGGTCGCGGGGTGGGTCGCGGGGGGGTTGCGCGGGGGACGACCACACTAACCCTAACACTAAAACTAACACTAACAACAACCACCACACCAACAACACCAACAACACCAACAAGAACAACCACAGCAGCAGCAGGAGCAACACCAACAACACTAACAAAAACAACAGTGACAGCAGCAACAACAACAGCAAAGATGTTACAATTGTTCGCTCTTAAGTATGTGCTCGCGTGTCAATATGCTAAGCCATCGATGCCCGCCCTGTTCGTCTTCGATCGTACCCCCCCCGGGGGGTATATCTTCCTGATCTTTCACGTGTAGTGAGCGCAGTGCCTGAAACAGAGAAGGGAGGGAGGAGGGAAGGGACAAGGGGGAGGGAGACGGATAGAGCACGAGAGAGATTAGCAGGAGGGGGGTTCGGAGCAGAAAAAAACAAGTGAGTGCGGAGGGCGCGGCGGTTAAATAAATGATGAGGAAGTCCTCGGAGAGAGCGCGATTCCTGCATACACGATGAGAACGTCCCGCGCGAGAGTGCGATTTTGAAGATACTGTGAGGAAGTATCAGGTGGGAGCCGTTGCTGTTGTTAACGGGAGACCAGGGGCCCAGTCTGAGCTTCGATTTTTTCCTTTCCGAGCAACAGAGTGCGAGCCGCAGGAGGGGCACGTCAATTAAAAAACACACACGGTGAACTGGATGGGGATCACCAAAAAGTATGTTTTAGGCATGGGAGTTCAATTCAACCCAGCAGCAACAGAAAGAATCCGCGCAGCGGAACCACACTTCAGCCACGCACCCATGGACAAAGAATTACCGTCCTGCCTCCTCACTCTGATCAGATGTGGCGCGTGAGCAAACAGCTTGCCCTCGCCCCTCGCCCCCTATCCTCCGCCTGTAGGTCGGCGGCGCGCCCCGGGGGAAGGCAGAGGGGGCGGGCTTTCTCAGAAGGCGGCGGAGCTTCCCAGAAGCCCTCGCGCCTTCTCAGAAGCCTTCTGGGCATCCCCCGAAGCCTCAGTGGTCTTCTCAGAAGGCGGGAGGGCTTCTGAGAAACCCCGCCGCCTTCCGAGAAGTCCAGTCCCCTCTGCCTTCCCTCCCGGGCGTGCCGCCGAGTAGGAGCATTCTGGCCGCTTCCGAAGATGGCTACGAGACAGATGAAGAGGACGATGAGGAGCATGCGAAGGATAACCAGGATATCGCCGAGGAGGAGGAGGAGGAGGACGAACATGAGGAGGAGGAGAAGCGAGAGGCAAAGCTGAAGGGTGTGGAGGAGGATAGGGCGCTGCAAGGAAGAACGTCGTGCTCAGCGCAGGATGACCACCTGTAGAGAGGTGGAGAAGGCCACAGGGGCCCAAACTCCTGCCCGCCCCAGCGAAAGCCCACAAGCCCACCCGACGGATCACGGCTCGGAGCGGGGCCAGGCAGAGAAAGCACACGAAGTTGGGCGGCGGGGCGGTCTTGGCAGGAAGTTGACGTCCACCGCGCGCAGGGCGCGCAGGGCGGTGGTTCGGACCCGATCAACCCAGCATTCTGTAGGGAGCTTCACACAACCGAGTTACCAGAGGACAATTTTACCATCCCAGCCGAAGCCAGGCGACTTCGGGATCAGAGACAAGGAGGGGGCGGGGGGTAGGAATAACACGGCCCCCTAACACACCCCTCGTAAGCAGGATGGTAGCCTTCAAGAAACAGCCTGCCATTGCGAGCAGCTCGTTCCGACATTGCGAGCGGTAGTTCGCAATATAACAGCACATGACCAGCCACTCTTGTACTCGACCCAACAGCGGTGGCCACGCGCACACAAGTGGCCCACAGTATTTGACGCTGGCAGCTGCGCAGCAGGGACCGTGGTGGCAGCCAGGGAGGGCCTCCCAGGCTTCCTCATCTCGGTCCTGCTCTGGACCGCATCTTGCGCGAGGCTGAGCTCATCTCCATCGGGCGTGAGAACCTGCCGAATGTGGCGACAGAAACGCGGGGCCTGACAGAAAGTTGAGGACTCAGACCACTAGGCACATCAGAGGCCTCAGAGTGCCCTTCAATGATTGGCCTCTTGAGGCCCCGAGCAGCGCTGCCAGAGGAAGGCCCAACCGACCTCAGACCAGTGCCAGATCCAGGCGGATCTGAAGGACAACTCAGAGGCACGATACGGCTTCCTGAGGCGCCGCTGCCCCCGTGAGTAGGAGGCACGAGCGGCTCAGAGACATGACCGGCTTCACGCGCAGCAGCAGTACAGGCCGCAGCTCCGTCAAAACACGGCCCACGAGGCAGACGAGCGAATCTGCTCCGCGGCAGCGGCACCTCCGCGACGAACGAGCATCTGGAGTATGGCTTCCCAGGGGCCTCATGGGGGGGCGGCGGTGGGTCCGAGCACTGTCGCGACGTCTTCGACCTCTGCCGTCGGCCGTGGGCGCCTCTGGAACTCGTCGATCCTGCCGTGAGACTGGTCACTCGAGGGCTTGCCGAAAAGGCTTGAGAGCTATCCTCCTGGCCTTAGCATGCTGGCTCGAGACGGGGTGGAGATCGCGGCCAGACGTCGCCGCAGCGTCGGCCCATCGATTCCCTTGAACATGATTATGGGATCCCCTCTGATATCATCTGCTGTGCCTGGCCTCAAGAGCCTCTCCACAGCACCCGAGATCCTGGATTTTGTCCCAGGTGGCCTCCCACATGTCAACGGTGGGCCTCCGAGGGTGGCAGCACCACTGAGGCCTCCACTGAAGCCCCTTACTGAGGCCCTTGAAATCCGAGAAGACCAGCACAGGCAACATGGAAATATGCAAGACCTCTAAAAAGGTATAGAGCCCACTTCGTGGGGAGGACCTGAATGGGCCCTGGGAACGCTCCGTAGGCCATGGCCTCGATCCTCTCTTCGACGAGCTTGGCAACGCCCCAGTCCGCCCTGTCAGCTTCAGACCAGTACCAGAAAAAACTTGCAAGCGCCATCGGTGTATTCCGTCACTGGTATACCATCGACTGAGCCATATCGAACAATCCAGCGTCCTGAGTTGTCTTGCCAGGGCAGCGGCGGGGCACAATTCCTCGGACGCAGCTCCCGATTCCAGAACCAAGAGTCGGCGTATTTTGGTGGAAGGCCGCCGTCGTCGAGCGTGCCAATGTCCTCCGCCCGTTCGTCATTATTACCGGCGCACGTCCAGGTCAACTAGTGTGAGCTGCAATCCTACGGACACTGAAGACAGTTCGCCCGCTCCGCGTAAGTGCAGCACTCGCGTCTCATCGGCGACCAGATGCCTCAACCAACGATGGCTCGTAGCATGGCCGCCTCATTGAACGTGGGAGTTCACTTGAAACTGCGCTGAGGCTGCTCACATTCACCTCACTCGTGATCATCACCACATTCCTCGTCCTCCCGATCCGATTCTTGCGGCTGGCACCGTCGTACGAGGCCGAGAGCGGGCTCAATCCAGTACCCCTGCGGCGAATCTGAGGCCGTAGAGAGGTCATCTGCAGAGTTAGGTTGAGCCGCCCAAGACACCCAAAATCGCCGAATGATACTCCCCCTTCCCCCCGTAGACTCCTAGCACGGCAGTCTTCGGCCTGGCTTGGCGGGAGAGATTTCCGGGGTTCTTCCTGGTAGTGTTAATAGTATATAACCAATTCAGGATAAAATCTCTCCTCCGTAAATTCACGAGGGAGAAATCGCTCCCGGTCGCTTCCAGGCAATTCTGAACCTCTCCCCGTATGAAACCACAAGGAAGAATCACTCCCATACCACTTCTCACCACAGCGCCCACACATGTCAATTTTAGCCAAGATGGATTAACTTTCGTAGCGGGGATGTAGCTCATTGAGCACGCTCGTTTATCGTAGATGGCGCCTCGGCCCTGAACTCCAAGCCATCCCCAACATCAGTACGGCAACAGGAAGCTGAGGAGGCAGTCCACTTGAGGCCCTTGACGGAGAGCAGCATAGCCCCAGTCCCTGACACCAAATTCCACGGATTACCAGCGACGTATATCTTCTCAATCCGCATTTGCCAGATGTTCTGCAACATTTGATACGTGAGCACAAGGGCACATAATAGGCCAGTGGCACGGTGGTTCCACCCAGGCTTGCACCTGGGGGTCTGAGTACATAGCAGCTCGCATACAATTCGAGATCCACGCCGACGTCGCGGACCCTGGTGAGTACCATGAAGAGTTGAGTATAAGGCGCATATTTGAAAACAATCGAGGCGGCGTTCCATGCACTCCTGAGCCATGCCCCATTGCACTTGGCAGTGCTTGTCGGACAAACTTGCTTACAAGTGTGCCGACACGTCGCACCTGCCTAAGACAAGGTATCTTCCTGGACGCAGCCGTGACGCGTTCCCGAAGACGTCGAAGCTTCAGGGGCTTGCCCACGGCCACCTCGATCCCGAGGACCTCCAGAGCCCCCTCGTCCTTGTATCCATGCTGGGCCAGCGTGCGACAAATGCAGCGGGCCACACTTGCACCGCTGAACATAATTGTAATATTGTGCTTCACAGGCGGGATATTCATCCCACGCAGCACCTCGGCGAGAATCCAAACAT